TTTTTAACACTCTTACACTAAGAACATTATTTTATAACATTTAAAAAAAGGCCTAGAGGAACTGACCACTACAACCCCCCTTGTATACGTCACTGGTCCTCCCAATATATTAAAAGTATATTACTCAATAATTTGTTTGTTTTGTCCCGGTTTCGCCTTATAAATTTATGGCAACCATAATCTACCATCTAACGGGATATCACCATACTCACTCTTTTTTTAAAAAAAGTCTAATAAATGCTCTGTGTCAGTGGCGTGGCGAACTACTTTTTGACCAGGGGCCAAATACAGAATACCAACCCACCCACCCACCTCAAATTAATATTTACACCTAAATTCGAATGCCAAGGGTGATTTTATATTATATATAAAAAAAACATTTTTATACGTCATGTACAGTATTAAAATATAACAGTAATGTTTAAAATTTAATATAATATATTACATTTATCCATACATAAAATGTTTGACAAATAATATTTAATTATTTAAAAAGTAATGACTTCTTCATTAAATCACTTGTTAATGCTAACTTATCTATTGCTTCATCAATGTTAATAGAATTGGTCAAATCTTTTTCACATGATATCAAAATAAGACTTTCTAACCTACTTTGTGCCATTGTTGAACGGAGTCTAGTTTTAATAAGTTTGAGTTTTGAAAATGACCGTTCACAAGAAACGGAAGTTGTTGGAATGGTACACAAATGTTTATATAGAAGGTATAAATTCGGGAAAGCTGTAATTAAGTCAAATGAATTAAGTAGTTGGAGCAATTGGAGTGGTGTTGTTTTCTTAGAACGGTTTATGTTGGTGTCTTGACTTTCATTTTCATGATTTTCATCAGAATCATCTTCATATTCATTATTGTTGATAAAATTAATGTCATCAGTGTAATTGTGAACTTTATCTGGGTTAATTTGAGATTGAAATTCTAAAAAACTTTTAGAAAATACAGTATATTCAATGCGTAGTGCATCTTGATTAATCTGAGGAATCCATATTTCAAAGAATTAAACATATCGTCAGGACATGGTTTTCCTTGATTGGCATTCATTAATCTATCATGTGTTAAAAAAGACAAGTCTTTAAGACTTTTGATTTTTTCAAATCGTGTTGTTATTGACATTATTATTTTATCAATGACTAGAAAATATACTTTAGATTTGAAATTATCTACTGGATTTGAAATTATTTCATCTTCAGAGATTTCATCAAACATTCTTTTTCGTTTTCTAAGCCTTATTTCAGGAAGTTGTGTTTCGTCAAGTTCATTATCGATTGCAAATTGTTTAGCATTTTGTAATACTTCATGTGCTCCTTCAGTTGTTCGTAAGTTGGTTAGTTGCTGTTTTACAGAATCGACCATGACTAAGGCTTGCATAAAATCAATCGCTGGAGATTGGAGGTATTTAGATAATGGTGTTGTAATCTCAAAAATTGTTTTCGTTAAAAACATTATCGACACAAATGAGAAAGATGTAATATTTTTGAATAAAGTGGTTGCTAATGAGCCTGTTGATCGGTCGCTTATATTTGAGAGGTCTTCTAATGTATTCAAAATGGCTTTGTACTTTTCAAAAACCACTTCTATTACCCTATGATGTGATGTCCATCGAGTGGTAGAAAAGTTTTTCATTCGACGAGCATGCTCATGTGGGTATAATGTTTTTTGGTGTTCCATAAATAATGCTGTTCTTTTACGTGCTGCCATAAACTCTTTTAATGATTGAATATAACCAAAAAAGTTTCTAGTTTCTGTACAAGAATCACATGTGTCAACAATTGTTAAATTCAGAGTATGAGCAAAGCACCATATATATACTGCTCGAGGATTGTTCTCTTGAATTAATGTTCTAAGTCCTGATTATTGCCCTTGCATAACAGCAGCACCATCGTACGATTGAGCACATAATTGATTTTTCCAGTCCAAGCCATATTTTTCACAAATATCACAAAATAAGTTAAACATTCCTTTTCCGGTTGAGTCAGTTGCTATTTTT